ATCGTACGGTGTCGAATAATTTGGTGTCGAATAAATCTGTGTCGAATCGAGCGGTGTCGAATCGTACTGTGGTCAAACGGAACCCGCCCGGTTAAAGGTACTCGTAGCAAAAAAAGTCGTTAGTTCACATTTTTTAGAAAAAAGAAAAACTTGGAGTTAAGAAAAAATTTTAACGGTTCTGGTGTCTCTGTATGATTAGGAATCAAACCACTATGTTTAAAATTCTTAGTTGTTAAGTTAGTGTAAATTTGTTTATAAACAATGTTAGTTATTACTGGAAGTGTGCGCTAGTGTGAGCGGACATAGAAACACGAAAAGACTTGACTAGTTCGCGCCCACCTTAAAGTTACTGAGCCTAGGGAATTCTAGAGTTTGAACACACCTAACAGCGCAGTTACAGCGTTTCGTGGAAACCGCGCCTTAAGGCTCGAGCAAGAAGGCACAGCCATCTTGGCGAGCAGTCTCAATCGAGGAACAGAACGCACAACACGTGTTTCTGTAAACGTGCGTTATTAACAAAGTTCCCGCGGCTCACGCGCTACGTATTTATTTATTTGCGTAAACATTAATAGCACCGAGCGTGATAGTGAGGTGTAGATACTTTTATATGAATAAACAGAGTTTTATATATTGTAATCACAAACAGTGAAGTGCGTGATTTCTTTCACAAACAATCCTATCCCGCCCTGACAGGAAGGGACCATTGAGGGAGGCAGAATCTTGCAGGACCTTGTTGCTAGGAGGATAAAGCAACTGGCGACAGTGATAAACAACCAGTTTGGTAAGTCCTTGACCAATTAACCGCCTAACCCCGGTCACAATCTAACCTAACCTTTTTTTTTAACGAGGGGAAATTTTTTATAAATTCCTCCGCCCATCAGGGGTACTGGGCAAAGGATATGCGAGACTAACTGGCCCACCCAGGCATCCCCCAGCTATCTCCCATTTTCCCGCTGGGCAGCAGACGAAGCCCTCACCCTATTGGGGGAATCTTCCTCCACCACCACCCAAAACGGAAAGTCCGGAGTACACTGAGAGTCCCGCAGAGATGAACCAGCCTACCCGCTAAAACCCCTCGATGTCCCCAGTCGCGCCAACTGAGCAGGGGACCAGCGGACGTCCAAGAACATTACTTGCTGGCCCCCAGCCTTTCGAATGCGCAAAGGTCTCATTTTAACGGGATCACGAACTTCACTGTCATTAAAGAAGGGCAAAAAGATCCTTCTCAAACCAACGTACTTCACAATTCATCATAGGTTGCGTGCAATAGCAGTGTCAACCCCCTATTGACCCTGCCGGCAAACTTAATTAGAGGTAAAGGAGAAAGAAAGTAGGGGGGGACATACACTCCTCGATTTCAGTTTTATGCCTCTCTCCATCCTTGGTAGATATAAACGCAGTTTACATTGTCCTATGTAATTCTTCACACAATTCTTTTTATAGTCTTCTTATAGCTCCAGGTTGACCCTGCCTTTCTCTTTCCATGTCCTCTTTCTTTAAGAGAACCCTATCAGCATAGTGCACAACTGCCTGCCATTCCTCTGGTCCAGCCAGCATCTCTTCAATTGCGCTTTTTATTGTCACACTGCCGACATTTAGTTTCATCCGCAACAACTTGCGTTCTTCTGTCCAACTGCCGCACTCCTCCCACGTATGTGATAACGTATCACGTGCTATCCCGCAATGCGCACATCGATCTGAGGCAGCCTTTCCAATTTGGTATAGATACGAGTTAAAACAGCCGTGTCTTGTCATTATTTGGGTCAGATGAAAAGACATTGACCCATGTCTTCTCGTTACCCATCGCTCAAACAGTGGCAAAATAACTTCCTTTGTGATTTTCCCAGTCTGCTTATCAGCACTCAGTTGTTCAAACCACTTTGTTCTCATTATAGCAGCCTTCTCGTTCTTTACAAGCGCATAGTCCTGGTCCTCTCCCGCACGAACTCTTCTATATATAGTCGCTCGTTCTTCAGCGAGTAATTCTAGGGGAGGATTAATGATTGAGCTTTGCTAATAATTGAGCCACGTCAGCCGATATTGTGCAATATCCACTTATTACTCTATTTGCTATGAGCGTCTGAGTAGCCCGACACCTTGCTATTGCCACCTTGTTTTTGGCAAGTTCACTAGTCCATACAAGAGCACCATATAAGATGACCGCTTGAAATACACCCAAATAGAGTCGACGCCTTTTCTCCATCGGACCACCCAAATTGGGCATGATACGCATTAGAGCTGTTACTATCCTTTGGCTCTTGTCGGTCATTTTAGAGAAATGTTTCTTAAAGGACCATTTATCATCCAGGATAAATCCCAGATACTTAATGTGACTGCTCGAAGTAACGCTAACACCATTTACATTCACTAAGGCCGTTCTGACCTTAGTTCTGCAGTGCCGAAAAACAACAACCTCCGTCTTTTCTGGTGCAATCTTCAGTCCCATCGCCGACATATCCCTGGTGGTGACCTCCAGACCACGGTTGACCGTTAATACTGCTCGGTTAACATCAGCTCCTCCAGCAGCTACCAGCGTGTCGTCCGCATAGCAGAAAACACGGCACGCTGTAGGAACCTGAAACTTAAGTACCTGATCATATGCCAAGTTCCATAGCAATGGACCCAATACTGAACCTTGGGGGACTCCACAAGTGACCCTTCTCTTAAGTATCTTTCTATCATGACTTGGGTATACAATGTATCTAAATCTTAGATATTCCGAGATGATACGTTTGAGATACTCAGGTAGCCTCCATATAACAGTTGCGTCCCGGATCACCGGCCATGGGAGCGAATTAAACGCGTTTTTAATATCAAGAGATACCGCCACACATATTCCCTTGTTTGTCGTAAAAGACGTCGCGAAGCTCCTCAGTGCCATTACTGCATCATTGGTGGACTTGCCTTTGTAGAAGCCATACTGCCTGGGTAAAAAACCATCTCGCTCGTCCACGTGCAGCATAACTCTGCATGCAATAATGCGCTCAAACAGCTTACCGACATCGCTAAGCAAGCAAAGTGGTCGGTAAGTCATTGCCATCCCTGGTTGTTTAGCCGCTTTAGGAATAAGAACTAAACGAGCAGTTTTCCAGCAATCTGGGAAGTATCCTTGTTGCAGGCACGCATTAAAACACCTGATAAGCCGATCAGGAGCCACCGTCAATATCATCAAGAGTATATTCATCGTTATGCCGTCTGGGCTTGGTGCTGAATGCTAATTCTTAATTTCCTTTAAAATCGTTTTAATTTCTTCTAAGGTGATCAGATCTCTTTTGTCCCCAATAACTGTTGGTTTATTTTGCTCATCTTCAGCATTAATGTGCCGAGGAAACAGACCATCCATCACCTTTTCCAATTTAACACTATCTAACGATTCGGTGACAGCAATCGTAGAACCTTTCAGTCGCTTCATTACAAGGCGATATGGCCTTTCCCAAGGGTCCCGATCAATTGACGCAAGCAGCTCCTTCCACGCTTTATCTTTGGATCCAATTATCTTAGCTCTAAGCTCGCGTTGCGCCCGTCTAAGCTCAGTTCTGGCAATCTCTGCCTCCACAACATTGCCCATTCTGCGATATTTGACCATCTTTCGCCTAAATGAGATGCATTTCTCCCTGCCTTCACTTAAGTCGTTATTCCACCAATACGCTTGGCGTTTCCCCGGAGATTTCTTGACGCGTGGCGCTGCCACGTCGCATGCTTCCTTTAATAATTGTCCCTGTCTGGTCGCTGCTTCCTCCGGATTACAAAACATAGGCTGAGGGCAGAGCCAGTCCGTAAGGGCTATGGCTGCCCTCAGGAGGTCTCACTTCATATGCTGGAGCGCCCACTTTGGGAAATCATTCCGCCTGTTCTTACCACCATTTGACTCTGCATCCAATAGAAGTCTGAGCGTAATCTCGATAAGGCAGTGATCGGACAAAGTTTCTTCATCTGCAACGACTCTCCAATTTACCACCCTATGGACCATATCCTGACTGCACCAAGACAAGTCAACAATTGACGTGCCTTGTTCCCGTATACATGTAGGAGTGGCACCGACATTTAGAAGGACCAAGTCCATAGTGGCCGCCCATCCATCGACTATCTCTCCACAAATATTTGTATACCTCGAGCACCAATTAATCGAGGCTGCATTAAAGTCTCCCATAATCACATAAGGAGACGGTCCCGTTTTCCGGACACTGTTAGTTAACCTATCTAGGCGGTCTTCCAAATCAGCTCGACTTTCGTTAGGGGGTAGACATACACTGTATACTCGCAGCCCTCCAATTCTAACTCCAACAAAGCCCCAGCCACTATCAACTGGGCGGACCTCCATCTTGCATACCTGTGGTAGCCAATAGATAGCAGCCTTATTGTCTCGATCCCCAAACTATAACTATGAGTCAGGGATCGTGTGTGGCTCAGATATACAAGCTATCCCAGCACCACCCTCCAGCATACGCTGGACAAGTAAGTCCTGCGCCGTTCTTGCATGATTAACATTAAGTTGGACTATTAATAACATAATTGCATCTGGTCTTTGCTATCCGCCAGTCCTCCACCAGCAGTTTCTGTTACTCTAGTCTTCTCGCGGGTGTTTCCTGGGCCCAGTTCCTCGGTAGCAGTCCGACGACGCGTTCGCAGGCCGCCAATCTTTCTTGCCGCGCATTTCTCTGTTCCTACCCTATGGTCAGATGTAAGGCCACGCGACAAACACACAGGACATCGTACCCGACCGGTGCAGGCCATAGCCTTATGACCCGCCTCCCCACATCTATAACATAAATTGCTTCTGTCAGTATCACTCGGGCACATAGATCTCACGTGCCCAAATTCAAGACATCTGAAGCATTGTAGTCTCCTTGGGGGAAGTAATACTACTCGTGCAGAGATTCAACCAAGCCTTACTCTTCCTAGTTTGGTTAACTTCTGGACCGCGTCAACTGGGCATTGTAGCCAAACAGCATTAAGTCCGTTCGCCATTGGTTTGATTGGGCCCGCCTTAATGTGACTGCTGTTGCACCCTCCATCCGTTGTGATTCGCTCGATAATCTCCTTTTCATCAGTTGTGTAGTTCATGTTTCTTGTGTACTATCTAACTTGAGACATGGAAAGAGGACATTTTTGGTTTTTCGAAACACTGTGATAAATATCATCTAATTATTTGATATCTCTTCCTTACTGCAGGGTGATGTACTGCCTATATTTTTCTTACTGATTTTTGTATGCCACTGAAGATGACTCAAACTGAGAGTCGAAACGTTTGGCATGTTTAAATAAAAATTCTTGTTCATACATCAACACCTAGTATTTCACTCCGTATCGGCCCTTTCTGCATATATATTTTTTAAACAATTTCACGGAGTATAAATCAAACAATTATATTGTTGAATCTCCTTTTCTGTCACAGAGTCATCGAACCCAACAATGCAAATTTTGGCTCGTTTAGAGGGGATCGTTACACGAGTTTCTTGGCCAAGAGCCAACTGCAACTTATCCTGCAGCTGCTGCGCCTTCTCCTTACTACTTTTTCCAGGAATCTGGACAAGCAACCTGCCGGTTACATCTTTCCGGATCCTTGTGTCTCCCAGATTCAGTGGCTTGAGGTTCACCTCCCGCTGCGTTTTCTTCATAATATCTGCATACGAGGTTTTTCTATCCGTGACCCTTATGGCCACCGCAGCAAAGCGCGGGGGACGTATGCGAGAAAGTCGCTGATTTTCCTGTACCTTCGACTACCGTCTCGTCACTGGGAGACTCGAGTTTTTCCGCTTATCTCTCCGCAGCCGACCCCGCTTTTGTTTCCTTGACTCAACCACCGACCATTCTGTATCGCTCTGGGTCACTAGAGCATCAGAATCTCTCTTTTCATCCTCAGTGGTAGAGCGCCTTTTTTGCCATCTCCGCCGAGATCGAGGTAACCGCCGCACAAAATCCTCCTAAGTACCTCTATCTTCTTCCAAGGTTAAACGTCCCTTGGAGCCTCTTCTTACAGGTCGACCCACATCAGACGGGTTGAATTCACTTTCCTCTATCCGGACAAGGGACCTTCGGCCAGATAAAACCGAAGATCCCCGCATGCCGTTCATCTGGGTTCCAACATATGACCTACTCCCAGCCGGCAAGGACAAATTCGAATCTTGCAGCGAATCCAGAGGAGATGTTGCAATGTCCCTGGTAGACACCACAATCTGTTTTGGAGATCTCAGCCCAATCCCGATTCTTCCGTTGTGCACATCCTGTTTGAACTGTCTAAATTCACGTCTTAGTGCATCGATTTGATCGTGGAGCAAGTTGTTCTCCGCTTTGAGCTCCTTATTCTCCTTAAGTAACTCCACTTCTCTCATGTGCAGGTAAGAGATATCTCCTGTTAGTTTGCACCTTGTCGCCAAGTCAGCCGCCGCACATTTAATTTTCTTTTATAGTGTGCGATAAGTTCCCCTTTAAGTTCTTACTTTTGACTCGTATATTTTCAATACTATCGGCATTCTCCTCGATTGTAGATGCAACCATTGCTGCCGACTTGTATCTACTACTATCGCACGTTATCGTTCTGGGCGATATATTATCGCTTGCCTTCCTCTTATTCCGCATCGTTGCACTAGCCGTTCGCGCTGACACTCGCCTGACTTTCGTGTTGCTCACCTCACGTCTTGTTTCCATCTCCTTCAAAGGGGTTTTAAAGACGTCGTCACTCAATTCCATGACGGCATCCGGATCCCTCATCTCGTTTATCCTTTTTCTTTCTCTCACTGACGCATCCGATTCGTCCTCAAAGGAGATCTTCCGACTCGTGGCAGTCTGTAAGCGTCTATCACTATCCGCAACATCTTGCTCTGTTTGAGCTGCACTACTCGTGCTTGCATAATGGCGTTCAGCAATAACCATATCCTCTGCAGCGCTCG